GCACGCCCGATCCCGCTAGCTTTGCGCACTCGGCGACGACCGCCGCCACGATCAGTGCGCCCGCGACGGTCTCTCTGCCAGAGATGCTCATCCGCGCGGAGATGGAGGCACTGGCGCTGGACGCGCTGGAGTTCTCTCCGGTCTACGACTGCCCCGGTCGACGAGGCAGTTCTCGACCTCTTTTTCTGGCTCCCTGCTCGGACGGCGCGGAGCGGCAGCGTGGCCGGTGCGTGCTCCCGGAGGCGGAGCCCAGCCCCCAGGTCACGCTCACGGCCTCCTGGCACCTGGAGGTGCGCCGCGAGGAGCTCTGCGGCCCGGGCACGGAGCACGAGACGCTCCGCACCGTCCGCCTGGGCGTCGCCGGCCACCTGGGCATGGTGCGGAGAGCCGCCGCCTCTCGGCAGGGGCGAGGAAGGCCGTCCTGTCCGTCCAGGTCGAGACGAGGCGCCACGACGAGGTCAACGGCCTTGGTAGCCTCATGACCTCTGTGGCGAGATCAAGCGGCACCGGTCGGCTCCTGGGCATGAGCGTGGACAAGGTCTACGTCTTGCCTGAGGATGCCACTATCAGTGGCGGACCTTCTTGGACGATTATGAGCGACAGCGACCCCTACGCGTTGGCGTACAGTCTCCTCCTCGGAGAGCAGGTGTAAGGTGACAGCCATGAGAAAGCGGCTGGCAGCATCCTTCCTGTTGGAGACGTCGTTTTGCTTGTTGTTGGCGTGGTAGCGTATTTTTCGTTCGCGTGTGGTCGTTTGCTTTGGGTATCTCGTCGGCGTTCGCGGTTGGCGTTGCCAGGAAGCAATGCCGAGGCCATCCAAGAAGTGGCAGGCACCACAGTTCCGAAGGGTAAGAACATCTGCGTGGAGTTTGATGCGCAGGATGACGTTGTTCGTCAGGATGATGTCGTTCGCCATGGCGAGCAGGGCAATGCTAATTCTCAGGAAGATGTTGGTCGTCGGGATGAGCAGGATTATGATATTGAGATCTGAGTACAGGTGCTGCTTGTCAGAGCGCGTATTTACTGACGTTGTAGGTCCAGGGCATTTTGAGCCGCGCCAAGCTCTGCAAGCGTGAGTTTTTTTGTGGAGGGCTTGGCTTGCAGCTCGTGGTCAGAGCACAGCTCTGGATGTAGATAGTTTTCAACCTGCTTCCGTCCGCTCTGCGGGCAGACTGTAGCTGCTCACTCATGGATAGACGCGTCGAGTAGAAGGCATGCTTTTCTGGGGGGTGACTCCGAGGATGCAGTTGCGCCTCGTGGTGTACGAGGTGGGTAAGAGGCAATTGTTGAGCATCCGAATTCGTAGCGCCATTCTTTAGCACCGCATTCGCTTCCCTGGGTTACAGATCATCCAGGCCTTCGGCATTTGACAAGCATCCAGTTTGCACCAAGCGTTCGGAGACTGCGCTTGTGAGGCGTGTTTCTGTCTCGCGCAGAGTCCGAAACAAATCCCCGAAAGAGGCCTCGAAGAGGAGGGCTCCAACAGGTTCCCCAAGGCGGCCTCCAGGGATAGCACTTCCAGGCTTTCGTGTTCTCGCCTGCTCCTGGTCGTGGATGTCCTGCTGCTGCGCCTGTTGTTGCTGTTGCCGTTGTCCCCTACATGTTTCATCCCTTGCTCGAACGAAGGATTGCAAAAAAGGATTTCAAAAAACGAAGGATTGCAATCCTTTGTTTGCAATCCTTCGTTTTTTTGCAATCCTTTTTTTTGCAATCCTTTTTTTTGCAAACCTTCGTCCTCATTCTTCTCGCATTCTTTCCTCCTCCCTCCTCCCTCCTAGCGAGTCCTGAAGGGCCCTCCCCAGACTCCTTGCCCCTGCCTCCTCCTCCCAGTTGTCTGCAGCCTTGAATTCAAGTGGCCGACGCCGTTCCAGGAAGTGTTGGAGACGATCGTGAAGATTCTAACCTGGGTCAGGAGCCTCCTGGACGAATTTGAGGGTCTCTTGGGGTGCCTCTCTGGGGCCTCTTGGAGAATGTTTGGGGGGCACGTGGGAGGCTTCTTGGGACCTCGTGGGGGCCTCTGGGGGGCTTCTTGGGGGCGTCTTGGCGGCCTCTCGGGGCCTCTTGGATGGCCCTCTGGGCCTCTGGGGGGCTCGAGGGGCCATCTCGATGAGAAAGGCTCGAAATCTCCAGTTCGTATTCCCCATCTTGGGCATTCTTGGAACCCTCTTGGGGCTCTCCAGGGGCTGTCTTGGGCCGTCTTGGGGCGCACCTGGGGCTGTTTTTGGGCCCTCTTGGGCCGTCTTGGGGTCTTCCTGGAGGCATAATGGGCCGTCTTGGGACGATCTTGGGGGCCACTTGGGCCGTCGCGTTCGCTGTCAAAGCGTAAGACGTGAAGGTGCTGAACATGTACGTTTTCTAAGGGAATAGGATGATTTTGGCCTCTTGGAGCCCTCTTGGCGACCCTCTGGAGGTACTTTTGGGCTGTCTTCTGGGCCTCGTGGGCCATCTTGAAGCCATCTTGGATCGTCGTGGGGCTACCCAGGGCCGTCATGACGTTCTCTTCGACTGTCTTGGTGTTCTGTCTGGACCCTATTGGGCTTTCTTTTGGGGCTTCTGGGGGCTCCGGAGGCCCCAGGGGTGCGTTGACGAGTTCGTCCCCCGCCCCCCCGTAGAATGGCATTTTGGACCCAGCCAGATGTCTCACACGTATTCTCACCCCCGGCAAGCGGGGGTCGGCGGATTCTTGCTCTCCTGGTCCTCTCTCACCAGTTACTCCGTTCTCGCGCTCCCTCTTCGATCGTTCTTCCTCCACGCTATAAGGCATCCAGTGTAGTACGATTTTCCTCATCAATATTGCTATATCGACTTCCTTCATGCTCCCTGATCCCCCCTCTTCCTCTCTCCTGTCTCCCTCCCTCCTGCCTCTTTAAGAGAGGAGAAAAGCAGGCTCAGGAGGATGGACAAGGAGAACGGGAACCCTTAGAACACAGGGTGATGGACAGGGTGACATGCCATGGTGACGGTGTAGGATAGCACGGGGATGCGACAAGCATGACGGTGACGATCGCCGAAGAAGGAAAAGACACATAAACATAAACTTTTGGCGCTCCGCGCGGATTTCCTGGATCCGCGCCTGTGCCCCCCGGCGGCGCCTCTGGCGCCGCCCCTGGTGCGCTCCGCGCGCCAGGGAGGGGGGGCCCGCGCGCATCCAAGATATCCGCGCGGAGCGCCAAGAGTTTCTGTTTACCAGGAGGGGGGCGGAGACCAGCCCGGGCGACCTCTGGCCTTACCCGGGGGCGCGCGGCGGGCCTCCGAGCGACGCCAAGCTGGCCGGAGGGGGCTGCAGGCCGGCGCCCGGAAGGGCTCCACACCGCCCCAAGAGGGGAGCCCAAGGCTCGAGCAGTGGCGAAGCGTCCTGGCCCGCCTGTAGCCCTACTAGAACATGTTCTAAGAACCGTTTGTGGTTCCCACGGCATGTTCTTAGAACATTTCTGGCGGAGTCTGTCTTGTTTTAACACATCAGGCTGAAGTTCTAAGTGCCTTGTTTTTTGTTCTTGGAGCGTTTTCGGATTCTAGGAACATCTCGTGGTAGGACTGTAGAAATGCCGGGACGGTCGGTCCCTGCTCCAAAGACGGCCTCAGAAGCGGGCCCCTGCCGGGTCCAGCGTCGCCCCACGACAGCCCAAGACGCTTCCAAGACGCTCCCAGGAGCCTCCCCAGAGGCTCCACGAGGGCCCCGCGAGGAGCCCCGAGAGGGCCTCCCGGAGGCAAAGGCGAAGGTTTTCGTGCATTCTCGCCCGCTCCTGGGCGTGTATTGCCTGCTTCAGCGCTCTGGTCCTTGCTGCTGCTCTTGCTCCTCGCATGTTCCTCCCCGTCCGCCACGTCCCTCTTCTCCTTCCTCCTTTCCTCCACTTCCCTGCACCATACTCGCGCACTGATATCGTCCTCGCATCCTCCTGTCAGTTGTGCCCAGCCTTTCTTCCTGCTCTTCATGGTCTTCTCTCTTCGGCCCCTGGCTTCTCCCGATGCCTCTAAGATCGCTATTCTCGCGTGATCAAGCCACGTCCATTCTGCAGCACTCCTCCCCCCCTGTCTTACTCCATCGGTTTTCTTCCCTGCTTCTCGACGCAGACGCGCCTGACGTAACGCTGGGCGCCCCCTTCCCTCCACTTTCTCTCTCTTGTTCATTGCTCTTTCCTATTCGCCCTTCATCTTTCCTCTTCGCCCTTCCGCCTTCCTCGCTCCTTCGCGCGTCATCATTTTCCCTCCTTCATCTTGCCTCCCCTTCTCCAACCTGACCATCTCGAGCCGCGCCTCATGACCTCTTGAGTCGCTTCTGGGGCCCCTCTTTCCGAACATCAGAATAGGGGAACGAGAGCCGATGAGAAGACGGAGGGGCAAAGGGCGAAGATGAGGATGTTGTGATGACGGCGCGAGGACAGCGTACGCGTGGACATACAAGAATAAGGATCACATCGCAAGGGCCAGGGCAATGATGGGCACTTGCAGTGCTGGAAGTCTGACGGAACAGCTCGACCGTCTGTTTACATGGCCAACGCTTGACAGGATGCAGACCTTCGTTCCGCCTCCGCCCTGTCAATGTCCATACCGCGCGCGAAGCCTCCACAACTGGAACCTGAGCGCGCGCGCGGAGCGCGTGCGATTGTCTTAGCCGGCATACATCTACAGTGTTGAACTGCTTCTTCTCGCCATGCACCGCTCTCGATGGTTTGCACATTGGAGGGGAAGCGCGCAATCGAGCGAAAGAGCACGTCCGCGGGGCGGTCATACACGGGGCTCGGCGGCGAAATGACAGCGAACTATCGAACCCATGCTTTGCAGGTTCAAGTCAAGAATTGATGCGGCGAAACTTAGGTGGTTTTCGTTTCGAGGGGTGCGTGTCCAGACTAGCAATCAGCCCGCTCCTCCTCCTCCTTCACCCTGCGCCGTTCTTGACGGTCAAGGGCCCCCCCCAGAGGTGAGGTCAGTTCCCCCCCTTCCCTTTGATTTTTTTCTCGGCGCGAGGTGTCTTGTCCCTTCTCCTCCCCCTGCCGCTGTAGGACCTCGGCTTCGTGGACGGGCTGTGGGACGCTCTCACCTTCCGCGTGCCGACGACGGACTGGCGCGTCAGCGCACGCCAGCAGGACGAGGATGGTGATGATGATGAGGAGGGATACGGGAAGACAGCGAGGGGGACGACGGGGAGGGGGACCGGGACCAGAGTAGACCCGAGGTGTATGAGCGACGCTGCAAGACGCCCTTTCCGCCCCAGGGCCTCCCCATAGCAGTCCCGCGGGCATCTGTGTTTGCGCTGCGGGAGTGTCCCTCCCCGAGCGGCGAGCGCCCGATGGGCCTGCAGCCCGGGCGGGAGGTTCGGTCTCGAGGGACGCCGCCCGCCATCCCTCGAGCCAGGCGGAACGCAGCAGCGTGCGCGTGAACGTTCAAGGATGTTTACCAGCCTCGAACGTATCCCTATCCCTAAGATTGACACGCCAAAAGGCGATGACAATCTTAGGGATGCGCCCTCAAAAAATAGGGGAATCCCTAAGATTGGCATCGTGATGAGGAGATGCCCCAGCATAGGGATGGGGATATGTTCCAGGCTGGTAAGATGTGTCCAGCGGCGGTCCCGTTTTGACAATGGCCTGTCGTGCCTCCGCTGGGGGCCAGTGTCAACATACAGCAGAGCCGAGAGATCAGCGCAGCATCTCAATACGGTTCAACGGTTTGTCCGCCCAGTGGCGTCGGTCCTTGACATGGGTGCGGAGCTGCACCCGCCCTTGGACGTGAACCTCGGGCAGTTCGCGGATCTGGAGCTCCGGACGCGGAAGACTTTCAGTACATTGCGCAAGGGGAAACGAGCAAGCCAGATGAAGTCTTTGTCGAGGTTCTCCAAGTCAGGGCAGACGATGCAGGGCAGCTAATTTGGTTACTTGATATTTGCAACACCGTGTGCGAGCAAAGAGTTCTACCCAAAGACTGGGGCTCAAAGCAAAGGTGCGGCGGTTGTTCAAGAAGGGTGACCCCGCCAATTGTGATCATCATCGTTCGCTGTCCCTGCAGTGCGTTGCGTTGAACGTGTTTTCGACGATGCTCAAGAACCGCTTATGGAAGCTGGTGTGGAGGACAGACAGCGGAAGTCGCAATTCGGCTTTCGTCTGGGGTGCAGTGCAGAATTGGCTATATTCAGGTCGAGGTTCTAGATTGCTAGCACTGGCGCGAAGCGAGGAGACGCGACACTTGCGCGCTAGGCTAGCTTGGACGAGAGTTAACGCTGCACGAAGACGAGGACGATAACGATGACGATGAGGACGAGGACGAGGACGAGGAGAACGACGATGACGATGACGACGGCGATGACGACGAGGACGAAGAGGACGACGACAATGACGACGAGGACGAGGACGACGATAACGACGACGGGAACGAGGGCGAAGAGACCGCCCAACTATGGCGGTGCCCTGGGGGCGAGACATTATCAGGACGTGGCCCTGCTCCCAACCTTCCCTCCCCTCCTCTTTTCGGCTCGTCCTCCCCCCCCCTCGTTTGTAGCCCCCTGCCCCTTCTCCTAGCCCCCCGCCCCCCTTCTCCTGGCCCCTTCCTTACCTTCCCCTCCTACCGTCGGGGCGCTGAAGAAGGAACCCTTCCGGTTGGGCAGGGGCTCCGTGCTCCTCAATTTTTTCGCAGCTTGCCTCAGGTTTTTGTTAGGTTTTCGATCTGAGATCGAGGTTTAACTTATATCGAAAATGGGGGCTGAAGAAGGAACCCTTTTGGTTGGGGAGGGGCTCCGTGCTCCTTCATTGTTTCGCAGCTTGCCTCAGGTTTTCATTCGGTTTTCGATCTGAGATCGAAGTTTAACCTATATCGAACATGGGGGCCTCGTTCCTTATCTAGGGTTCCTTAGGTCAACGCCCCGACTGTGCTCTCCCTCGCCCCCTTCCCCTCGGCCGCGCGTGCTGTCGGCGCCCGCCCAGGGACGTCTGGAAGCGCGTCGTGTGGTGGAACACGGCCCGCCCGCTCCTCTCCGCCCGTGGGGCTCGTGGGGGCCCCGGTGCAGCCACCACAGGAGCAGAGATGATGCGGATGATGATGATGATGATGATGATGATGATGATGATGATGATGATGATGATGATGATGATGATGATGATGATGATGATGCTGATGCTGATGCTGATGCTGATGCTGATGCTGATGCTGATGCTGATGCTGATGCTGCTGATGATGATGATGATGATGCTGATGATGCTGATGATGATGATGATGCTGAGGATGATGACGATGATGATGCGGATGATGATGATGCGGATGGTGATGCTGATGATGATGCTGATCATGCTGGTGATGATGACGATGCGGATGTTGATGCGGATGCCGATGATGATGCTGATGATGATGCTGCTGATGATGATGCTGCTGCTGATGATGATGATGATGCCGATGGATGATGCTGAGGAGGAGGAGTAGGAGGAGGATGAGGGGCCATAATGGTGATGATGATGGTTGCGATCATGGTGAGGATGTTGATGATACTGGTGGTGATGGTGGTGATTCGGATGATGTTGATGTTGATGGTGATGACGATGGTGATGACGGTGATGTTGACGTTGATGTTGATGTTGCTGTTGTTGTTGGTGATGATGATGATGATGGTGATGATCACGATGGTGAGGTGATGATGGGTAAGATGATGATGGCGCCATTGCTGCTGTTGCTGCTGGTGATGATGATGTTGTTGATGATGATGATGGTGCTAATGTTCATGGTGATGATGCTGCTGATGATGAGGAGGAAGAGGATTAGGAGGAGGAGGAGGAGGAGGAGGAGGAGCGATGAGTCACACGGATAAGAGGACCACCATGAACCAGTTGGAGCAGCAATTTTCAGAAGGCATTGAGAATGATCTTATCATGATGATGACAGATGGAGGAGGAGTTGGAGGACGACGAGGGTGGGAAGTGCGAAGCCAGGATGCTGAAGAGGAGGACGCTGAGAACAAAACTAGAAGAAGGATAACCATAATGATAATGAGGAGGATTATGACGAGGAGGAGGAGGAAGATCCAATATCGGAAGGAGTCTCTGGATGGTCTTCCCCTTCCTTCTATTCCTCTTCTTCTTCTTCCTCCTCCTCCTCCTCCTCCTCCTCCTCCTCCTCCTCCTTCTCCCCCCTCCCCTCTTGGCCGCCCCCGACGTCTGGGACCCCCCCCTGCCTTCGACCAGCATCGCCCCCGCCGCTCCGGGCGCGGCGGCCGACGCCGCCGCCGCGGCCACGGCGCCCGCCCGCGAGGACGGCGGCAGCGCCCCGGCCCCGCCGCAGCTCGTGGGCCGGCCGGCGCGCCGGGAGGCCGGGAGCGGGCCCCCGACGTAAGTCAGGCATGTCCTCCCACAGGAGGAAAGTTCGAACATAGTCAACAAGTAGGGGAGGGCGAGGAGGGGGAGGAGGAGGAGGAGGAGGAGGAGGAGGAGGAGGAGGAGGAGGAGGAGGAGGAGGATGTGGATTGTCAAAAAATAATTTCAACATATTTTGGGAACAAGTCCTTCTGGAGGAGGAATATCCAAGAACAGTCGAAAATAGTATGGGTGGACGGTTTATCCGTTATTTCTGACAAGTTTTGAATCTTTGTGGAATAACATTTCGCCCAGAAGCCGCCTGTAGGGGGACGTGCCCGGCTTAATTGACCCCAGACATGATCGCGTTCCGGGCCCTGGGGCCTTGAACAAAACGATTCCGGATGAAGAAAAAACCGGCCCTGGGGAAAGGGTCGCGGACTTCTGGGGGCCGCGTATCGACATAAATCAGGGAGTCGCATGTCTGGGACTGAGGCTGCGGGCGCCGGCGACGCGCGGGCCCCGCCGCCGCTGGAGTCGCCGGCCGCGGGCGACGGCGACGCCAACAGCGACGAGGACTCGCAGCATGGCGCACACTGCTGGCTCGCCGCCAGGCTCGCCCTGCTCGCCCTGGCGCTGCTGGCCCTGGGCGGACCCGCGGCGGCCTACCTGCACCTGGCGCGCCCGTGCTGGAGCGACGACGTCGGCAGCACCACCGCGGGCCGCGAGCGCTGGGCCGTGTTCTGGCCTCAGTACGCAGTGGGCGCGCCAGTGAGCCTGGCTCTGGCCGCCTGGTGCGTGACCGTGCGCCGGCGCTCCCGCCCCGCTGTGCCGCTGCACGCGTGGACGCGGCGCTTCGGGGCCTGCGCCGCCGTCGCCGCGACTGCCCGGCTCGCCTTCCCCGCCCTGGACCCTGGCTGCCACGGCGCAGCGGGCGCGGCGTGGCAGGGCGCGTGCCGCGCGTTGCACGATGGGAGCTACATCGTGATCCTGGTCGTCCTGCACCGCCTGCTGGTGCTGAAGCTGCGCGCGCTTGGGCTCCGGCGCCACGAGGCGGCCGCCCGCGCAGCGCTGGCGACGGCGGCGGCGGGGTCCGCCGCACTCGCCGTGGCCGCCGTCTCGCTCTTCGCCATCGGCCTGCCAGGCATGGACAACGGGCGCGTGCCGGCGGCGCTCCGGTGGATAGGCTCGGGGAAACGTAAGGCTCGAATAAGCCGGAACTCGGGTTTGCCAACGTTTTTTTCGACGAGCGCGTCCTGGATTTCGACGGTCCAGCTTTCGTGGGATGTCTGCAGCGGGAGCTCGCGTCAAATTTCAGATTCGGTCTCGTCATTTTTATGATGGCCCCGTCAGGCCAACCCGAGTCCCTCGTGCCCGAGTCTTTCGTCTCCCCGATAGGTATCATCGGCTTTCTGGCGCTTTTTTTGGCAGGGACGGCGCGTACCTGCTGCGGGGCGTGGGGCTTGCTGGCCGCCGCCGCGCGCGCCGAGCGCTCCGGGCGCGGTGGGGTGGAACAGATGGCGCGCTGGGTGCGCGGCACAGCCGCGCTGGTCGTGGCGTCCCTCCTGCTGCAGGTCGCGGAGGGGTTCCTCCTCGCCTCCTGCATCAGCGCCTATGACGGAGGTCGGTGGCACGCCTATACCTGGGCCTTCGCCACGAATAGCGGCTTCAACTGCCTGCAGGTGGCCCTCCTCTCCGGCCTCGCCGGGCCGCGGTCGCTGCGGCGGTTGGCGGTGGATGCCTTCGAGCGCATCAATTGCTACAGCCTGGAGGACCTACAGAGATGTTACGAAGAGTTTCTGGCGTACCTGGATGAAGCCCAGGTGAAGTGGGTTCGATTTGGATACCTTCGGCATCTTGTGGAATCTGGATCTGTCATGGTGCGCTGTCAAGAGGTGCCCGCTGCCGAGGCCGTCATCGGCAGCTCGGGTTTTCCCGGCGGCAGGGGCGATCCCAAGCAGATGTTCGTAGTGTCGCACCCGTGGCTGACGAAGGAGCACCCGGATCCTGGTGGAGCGAAGCTGCAGCTGTTAGTGCGACAGTTGGACCTGCTGTGCGCACTCGATGACGCACTGGTATTTATCGACTACATGGGCCTTTCACAGCACAACAGGCTGGACCCAGAGTGCGAGCGTCTGGAGGAGAACAATTGGCCCAAGCCTGGCGAGCACCCTGCCGTCCGGACAGAGGCGGACGAACAGTTGTTCAGGACCGCCGTCGGCTCGATGGAGCTCATGTACAGCATGAGTAACGCTGCCGTTATCGTGCTTCCTATGGACGACGAGGTCGCTGCCGGCAAGGACTACTTCTCACGAGGGTGGTGCTTCTTTGAATTCTGCATCGCGGTTAGCTTCGGCAATCTAGCGAACGCCAGTACCCATCCGCCTGTGGAGACGCTGCGCAGGAGTGTTGCCGAGCTGAAACCGGACACGGTCGACGGGTTCCAGAAAGGCTTCAGGGCGACTCGCTTCACCAGCAAGGGCGACAGGGCAGTAGTCAGCAAGCTCTTCGAGCAGACTTTGATGAAGAAGCCGAGGCAGTGACGTCCATGGGCCAGCCCGCGATTGCGTACTCACAACGCGCGGGGAATATCTGCACGGCAGGGCGACCATGAATTGCAGTACGTAATGATGACGGCGACGATAATTCACCATGAAGGAAGGAGCAAAACGGAAAATAATGGGAACGCGAGTTGGGGCAGGAAAGCAACGCGGCAACACTTTATGTTTTCCCGTCCGTTTTCGCCCCCCCCCCCCCCCTTTCATCGCTATCATTCCCTCCCTCACACTTTTTCGGCCCGTTGCCCTTCGAACCCTTTCATTTGTCCCTCGCGTCTTTCTCATTGCAAAGGCTTGCTGCCTTTGCCGCCGGCCCTGAAGGCGGGATATCCCTGGGGACCCCCACTGGCGCCCCCTACCCCGAGACCCGCTTGGACCCGCGGGGAGGGTCTTCTGACCCTGGACCATTCTCCCCCACCACAGACGGGACCTCCAGGGCCTCTCCGCGCCCCCTCCCCCCTGCCCTTCCTGTCCAGGACCGAGCAGGGGAGGGAGGGCCGCTGTGACCCCAGGGAGGGGGGTGGGGGGGACGGTCATCTGACCCGGGGGTCAGGAGGGGTCAGGAGCGGTGCCTGGGGGAAGGTCGGGGGGCGGGAGGAGGGGTCAGGAGGGATCGGCCGAGCTTGGATGTGCTCCCCTTGTCCCAATCACCACAGCGCTTCGGGCTCAATGAGCCGACTTGCTGGCGCTGCGGGTGGGACCTGGTGGACGCCCACAGTCAGGCGCCTGCCCACGCATTGCATTAAAACATCATGAAGCCTTGTCTACAGTTTGGGCGAGCCCCACGTAACATTTTAAACTGGCCCGGCGTGGACCCTACGTATACCCTTCTGAGTAAAACGCGCAGACAAAAAAGATCATTCGCGTCAGCATCAGCATCTTCATATTTCATCAGCATCTTCACCATCAGCATCATCATCATTGCCGTCAGCATCAGCGCCAGCATCAGCATCAGCATCCGCATCGGCATCGGCATCTTCTCCATATTAATCGTGTTCACCGTCTCCATCATCTTTATCATCACCATCATCACCATCACCATCACCATCACCATCACCCTCACACTCACCATCACCATCACCATCATCACCATCGTCATCACCACAATCATCCTCATCATCACCACCATCATCGTCATCGTCGCTATCAGCATCTTCTTCATCATCATCATCATCAGCGGCATCGTGATCATCATCGTCATCGTCACTGTCATCGTCACCGTCATCATCATCATCATCAGCAGCATCATCACCTTCACACCACTGCCATCATAATCGTCACTGTCATCGTCAACATCATCATCATGATCACCAGCATCATCACCACCATCGTCAGCATCACCATGATCGTCATCATCATCATCGTCATCATCATCATCACCACCATCATCAGCAGCATCGTCATCGTCATCATCATCATCATCATCATCATGATGACCATCATCATTATCGTCATCATCATCATCAGCATCATCATCATCATCTTCTTATTATTATTACGGTTATTATTCTTCTTCTTCTTCATCGTCGTCGTCGTCGTCGTCGTTGTCGTCATCGTCGTCGTCGTGCAAAACGCCAGCCTGGGAGGGGGAAGGAAGATAAGGAGGGGGTAGAGGAGGCGTCTGCGCCCGGGCCCCTCGAGATCGCCGCGCCCTGCTTTGCCGGCCAGCCGAGAGACGTCTTTCGATGCCACGTGGACCATCGGGGAGGCAAGCCGAGGCGCGGAAGTTGAGTTCCGATGGCCAATTTGTCAGTGGGGGCCCACTGACGATTGGGGGGGACGAGTCGCGGGAGTTGAGCTCCGATTGCCATTTCGGCCGTGGGGGCCACATTCAAATGAGCAATCGAGGGGGCAAGGCCGAGGCGGGCGAATGGAGCTCCGATCGCCCAACTAGCAAAAGGAATCCCGTTGTCAAATGGGTCATCGGGGTACCCGATTGCCTATTTTATGATGGGATCCCAACTGTCAATCAGGGAATCTGAAGGGAAGTGTGGCCGATTGCCCGTTTGACAGTGGGGATCCCATTGTCAAACGGGCAAAGTTCGCTTAGCACTTTCAGCTGCAATTTTGCCCCTCCCCACCCCCCCTGTCCGGGGGGGGATTGTGGGGGGGGAATCTCACACGCCTTGATAACCCAAAAGGGGTCGACGGGCTCCGTGACTGCCCCACAAGCCCGTTGCTATCCCTCAGAACGCCTGGCACCACGCGCTAAGGGTGGCTTACGATGAGGAGGGGAACCACGTCGAGTCATGATGCTGATGATTGTGACGATTCCGTGGAGGCGGATTCAGAGGAGTCTGGAGGATATCTAAAGGCTAGGAGGAGGAGGAGGAGGAGGAGGTCACATTGTGCAGAGGAGGAGAAGCCATGAAGAGAAGGAGGAGGAGGAGGAGGAGGAGGAGGAGGAAGAGGAGGAGGAGGAGCCATGAGAATGAGGAGCGGGAGGAGGAGCAGAGGAGCTAGCTGGAGTGGAGGGGGGTGGGGTCCTCCGCCTCGTCCTCTCTACTGCTCCTTCTCCGGCTCTCTGCGTTTTCCCCAGCCCGCCGTCGTCATCGTCGTCGTCGTCGTCGTCCTCGTCCTCCTTCTCGTCTTTCTCCTCCTCCTCCTCCTCCTCCTCCTCCTCCTCCTCGGGCGCAGGGCCGACGGCAGACGTTCTTGGCTTGCCGATGAGGCCGTGGACGAGTGCCCCTGGCTGCGCTCGTCGGCACGGCCGAGCCCCCAGCCCGAGCGCCGCGTCCGTGGTCCTTGGCGGGCAGACGGGCGCATGCTGAATGCCAGCGAGCACGTGCTAGGGTTGAGTCGGGCCTGTCCCTCTACAGGAGGAATATTCAGGAGTAGTAGAAAAATAGTCTGAGGACTATTTTTGAGTATTTTCTGGCCATTTTGGAGTATTTTTTTGAATATTGAATCGCTTCGCTCATTCCGCCGGCCCATTTCGCATGACTGAGCCTCTTGGGGCCGCTGGGAGGCCTCTTCAGCGTCGCTTGGGGGCCTCCTGAGGGCCTCTTGGGGGCTTTTGGGGTTTCTCAGGGATTTTGGAGCATGTTTTGCATATCTTTATTTTTTTCGCCGAAGGATTGCAAAAAAAACCCGAAGGATTGCAAAAAAACCGAAGGATTGCAACAAAAACCCTGGATTGCAAAAAAAAACCTGGATTGCAATCCTTCGTTTTTTTTGTTTGCAATCCTTCGTTTTTTTTGCAATCCTTCGAATCCCCCTCTGGGGGGACAGGCCCGACCTGATGCTGGGGGACCAGTCCGCTTTTGGGGGCAGGCGCGGCGGGTGCTCGCGGCGGTCCCCTCGGCCCCCTTCTCTGAGCCATGCGCTGCGGCGCCGGTAGGATCAGCTCGCACTGCCCACTGCCCGCGTGAGTGGCTCTGGAGGCTCCGCAGAGGCCCACGGCATCTCTCTCCTCGAACAGGGCTTGCGCTTCGAAAAGTGGTTTCTGAGTCCCCACAGAGTGCTTGCACTCTGGGGCTCCAATTTCAGTTCTAAGGTACCGGAGCCTCCTCCTCCTCCTCCTGCTCCTGCTCCTGCTCCTGCTCCTCCTCCTCCTCCTCCTCCTCCTCCTCCTCACCGCCTCCCCCCCCTCCTCCTCCTCCTCCTCCTCCTCCTCCTCCTCCTCCTCCTCCTCGTCCTCCTCCTCCTCCTCCTCCTCCTTCCTCCTCCTCCTCCTCCTCCTCCTCCTCCTCCTCCTCCCCCTCCCCCCCTCCTCCTCTTCCTCCTCTCCTCCTCCTCCTCCTCCTCGTCCTCCTCCTCCTCCTCCTCCTCCTCCCCTCCTCCTCCTCCTTCTCCTCCTCCCCCTCCCCCCCTCCTCCTCTCCTCCTCCTCCTCCTCCGCCTCCTCCTCCTCCTCCTCCTCCTCCTCCTCCTCCTCCTCCTCCTCCTCCCTCCTCCTCCTCCTCCTCCTCCTCCTCCCCTCCTCCTCCTCCTCCTCCCTCCTCCTCCTCCTCCCTCTCCTCCTCCTCCTCCTCCTCCCTCCTCCTCCTCCTCCTCCTCCTCCTCCTCCTCCTCCTCCTCCTCCTCCTCCTCCTCCTCCTCCTCCTCCTCCTCCCCCTCCCCCTCCCCCTCCCTCCTCCGGAGCCCCAGGGGCGGTCCGGCCAGCCCGCCGCCGCCCGCCGCCTCCGGCGCCGCCGGCGCCGCCGCCGCCGCTGGGCCTCAGTGGCGGTCCGGCTGGCTCGTCACCGCCCGCCGCCCCCGCCCGTCGCCGCCGCCCGTTCCATGCGGCTGTGATCGCACTGCGTTGCAATCGCATTGCACTGCACTGCACTGCGTTGCATTGCTTTCCTGTGCTTGGCCTTGCATTGCTTTGCATAGCCCTGCATGGTTTCGCATTTCTTTGCATGGCTTTGCATTGCATTGCGTTGCTCTGCGTTGCTTTGTATCGTTTCGCATTGCTGTGCATTGGTTTGCATGTCGTTGCATGGCTTTTCATTGCATTGCATTGCCCTGCATACCTCTGCATAGCTTTACATGGCTGTGCATCGTGTTGCATTGTGTTGCATTGTGTTGCATTGCTCTGCATTGCTCTGCATTGCTTTGCATTGCTTTGCATTCCTTTGCATTACTTTGCATTGCGGACACCCGGGGCATCCCTGATGGGCGAGGCCAGGAGGCGGCCCGTGGTCTCCTTCGACGTGCAGCCCCAGCAGGAGGACGCCAAGAGGAGGAAGACCGACGGCGTGAGGGTGGCCGCCGAGGTCCAGTGCATCCAGCTGGGCGCAGCGGGCTTGGCGGCACTGCGGCATGCCCTTCGCTTTGCCAGAGCTCGAAGAGGCGACGACGAGGTCGAGCTCGTAGGCTGCCCCAGCTGCGGCGCCGCCGCGCAGCTTGAAGGGCGAGGCGCAACCAAGCCCACGCTGAAGGGGACCAGCGCAAGGGCGCCCAGGCAGCCGACGCCTGCTTCGATCACCGGCTCAGCTCGTGGGAGAGAGGCCTCCCCCCCGGAGGCCGGCACGGCAAGGTCCGGCGCGCTGCGGCCGGAGC